CCCCCAAAAAAAAAAAAAAAAAAAAAAAAAAAGTAATCTTTGGAATACTTTTAATCCAAAAAAGTTTGGATTAAGAAAATATTACTCTTTACAAGAGTCACTCCTCATATCTAAGGATTTAGATTATTTGAAAGGAAAAAGATGGATATACCAGGCAAACACTAATTTCAAAAAGCCTCTTATATCACAACCACATTAATTTTAAGGTAAAAAAGGATTATTACAGATAAAGAAGGTCAGTACTATTTTCTGAGGTCATAATAGTTTTAAAATTATTTTTTTAAGTACTTACTTTTAAATTTATATTCACTCATGTACCTAAAAGAATCTCAAGATTTGTAAGATAAAGTGATGGAATTGTAAGAGTACACTGGATATTGGAGTGTAAAATGGTTTATTGACCTTATAGAGCTATTTGGCCATTCCTAGAAAAGTTGAAGATGCAGTCCACCACTTCTGGATATACCTCTCTTAGAGAATTGCCCTCACCTGTGTTCATGAGTACATGTACCAGATCACTCAGAGAAACATTACTTGTAAGAGTGAAAAATTGGGAAAAACTTAACTATCCATCACTGGAGAATGTACACAAGTAAATTGTGGTATGTAATGAATGTAATACTATGCAACATTAAAAATTAGTGAGTAGGAGCTATGTGTGTTCACCAAATGAAAGTGGGGACTAGAAGCATATAAAGATAATTTGAGTGAAAAGAAATGACATTTCAAAAGAACACACAAATAATATCATACTTTATATATATTTTACATACTTCTAAAAGGCAAAGTAGTACTTTATCTTGCTTAGGGATGATTCATCCATAGATATGAAGTAAATATATAGAGAAAGGAAAGAGGAGGGTGCTGTAGTTGTGTGTGTGGGGGTGCATCAAGAGGCACACCTGTATTGGGAATGTTTGATTTCTCAAGCTAGCTGGTGGGCATACATATGTCTATCTGATTATTTACATATTGTTTAATACATCTGAAAAAAATTTTATAATTTTTTAATACTAAGGAAAAAATATAAATATAGCTTGTTAGCATACAAGAAATTAGAAACATATATGTACACTACCTCAATCCAAAAGAGTGTTTGTGACAGTAGTTTTGAAGTTATATTTGAAAAAAAACCACATTGCAAGTTTTCTTAAATCTAAAAAGATTTTATTTTATTTTTTTAATTTTTTTCCTTTTCGTCTTTTTTCGTGACTGGCAACGGATCGCAACCCTCAGTGTCGCGCCCGTACCAGACCGGGACCGGCAACGGGATCGCAA